CAGAAACCATTTTAAAACACAAATTTATATTTTACAGTCTTCTTCTAAATCTTTGTAAACAAACTGAATCATTTTTAAAAATAAAGTTTGTTTTATTTTGAAAATCATCAGAGTGGAAACTGATGACGATAAACATTATTGTGAAGAGTCTATAAATACTGATCATTGATTGGAGCTGTCTCCATCTGTTTGTAGATTGTTTTGCCCTTCAGCTGCCTGGATACTGATGACATCATGGGGTGTGACCTCTGTGATTGGCTACTCTGTGTTAGTGCTCAGCTGCTGCTACACTTTCAGTCGGTTTACTCACACACACAGTTTAACAGTCAGAGAGCTGCTGATGAAGATGAAGGAGCTGCTCCTCTTCCTCTCCTGTGTCCTCTGTGTCTCTGCCGATGGTGAGTTTGTCTCGGTAAACTCTGGCAGGCAGGCAGCAGCTTATTGATCGGTGTTTCATTTCAGCTCTGCACGGTGACGTTCATATAAACGGCTGTTCAGACTTTGATGCAGAGGACATGTATGGACTGGATGGGGAGGAGGTTGCCTACGCAGACTTCAACAACCACACGGAAGTCTACAGTCTGCCTCCTTTTGCTGATCCTATGACTTACCCCGGAGCTTATAAACAAGCTGTGACTGAGCTGAAGGTCTGCAGACACAACCTGAAGGCTCTTGGCGCGGTGATGAAGGACTACCCTTCCAATAACCGTAAATACAAACATGTCTGTCTCACCTGTGTTTACCTGAAATGATCAGCGATGAAGTAATCAGTCCAATCAAACACAGCCAGTGAAACAAGCTGATTAAAGATGTGAAATCATTCCACCTTAAACACATTCAGAAACCCAACACTGACATGTTTCTATTTGTGTTTCTATTAAAGACCACGTTTTATTTTTCTTCATTAGTTTCTCTGAAGCTGAACAGAGTCTGTCTGTGCTCCTGTTTCTCTAGTTTAACTTCATGATTCTGACGTCAGGCTGGTTTCTCTCACACAGACAACGATGGCATCATCTCAGTGAATGACTGAACAAGTTATTGATGTTTATTATCATCACGATCACCTGCTGATGTGTTTGTGCACAGATGCTCCTTCAGCTGTGATGATCTACACCAGAGATGAGGTGGAGTTTGGAGAGGAGAACACTCTGATCTGTCACGTGACTGGTTTCTATCCTGCTCCTGTCAACGTCTCCTGGACCAAGAACGGACAGAAGGTCACAGAAGGATCCAGCACCAACGTTCCCTATCCCAACAAAGATGGACCCTTCACCCAGATCTCCAGACTGCAGTTCACCCCACAGCTGGGAGACATCTACAGCTGCGCAGTGCAACATCTGGCCCTGACTGAACCACTGACCAAGATCTATGGTGAGAAAACTTTATTTAAACAAAAATCACTGACAGACGAACACATGTGAAGACTGAGGCCAGTGTTCATCAGAGCAGCTGGTTCTGATCTGATAGTTTGACACGATGATTTTTGTCACACATTTTGGAGCCAATATGATCATCTTATCCCACCAACGATGGGAACAGAGTTTAATACACTGAATCATATGAACAGTAAGTAAGAACATACATTACAGTGCGTTGTTTAACTGTATAAAAAGTGATCCATATGAGGACAATCTTGACATGAGTAATGACACAATAAGTGTAGGGACACATGAAGTATATGAAGCCATTCATAGGTTGTCTGATAATAAAGCTTCTGGTTTGGATCACATCACTGCAGAACATTTAAAACATGCTAGTTTAAGGCTAGCTCCTCTTTTAGCACTCTGTTTCACAGGGTTTATGATTCATGGCATATTACCAGACTCAATGCTGTGTATTTTACTGGTACCAGTTATGAA